CTGTGCAGGGACGATGGAGGTTTGGAGGGGGACTGGGTAGAGTTCGTTTGGCATGAGGTCTTCATCCCACTGCTGTGTGGAAGGGAGTGGGGGGCTCTAGGAGGTGAGGGGGGCAGATGGAGGTAGGGAGGCAAGAAGCTGCTGTGGAGCCTGGGCCACAGGCCAGGGGAGACGTGTGGCTGACTGCAGGCCGAGGGGCACTGGGGTGGGGCCAGGGAAAGGCAAATGCACAGGCCCTGGCCCTCCTGGAACTGGGGAGGTAAGTCCCAGGGAGGCCCCAGGACTCCGATGTTGGAGAAGGTTCAGGATGGGACAGAGTGGGGGTTCAGGCTTGGGGCCTGGGGTTTGGATACCTTTGGGCAGCAGTGATCATAACAGCAGGCCCCCCAGACAGGCCCCCCTCACCACCCTCCGACCCATCCTCAGACCCCCTGAATCACGGGAAAGGGGGGTGGGGCTAGTACTTTAGCAGGATTCAGGGGTCTGGCTTCCAAGAGCTGGAGTGAACCTGAGACACCAGACTTCTCCCTCCCCATCGGTCAGACGGGACACCAAGGGCAGGGACACACCACGGGGTGGGAACAGGAGGCCAGACTCCACTTAATACAGCGGAGGGGCCCCGGAGCCCTCCCCTCCCACTCCGCCTAGGGCCTGCCCAGGTTCTCTGTACCTGCCATCTGGCCCTGCACTGATCCTGGGCACACAGTGCCCCCTGCTGGCCTCTTCAGAGACAACCGGGCTTTGCTGGAGCCACAGGCCTGGCTCCCAGTTGGAGAGAATTAGGGAGAGAGTTTCCTTGCCCGGCCCTGGGTCTTGCAGTCTTTGACCCCTGACTCCCTCCAGGGGAGAAGACAGGCTGCTTTCCAGATGGCCCTGAGCGATCACAGCCTCCTTTGTTTTCCTGGAGCTCCTCCTAAAATTCCTGTACCAAACCAGGCCCTTTTCTTACTTTTTCTCTCTCTCCCTCTCTCTCATTTTATTTTTTTTCTCTCATTTTCCTCCCTCCTTCCCACCTTCCATCTATGCATTCGTCCATCCATCCATCCATCCACCCACCCATCCACAAACATCCCCTGACCATGTATTTGTGCCCTGAGCCAGGCAGTGTGGGGGGCAAGCACACCCAGTCCCCCCCTTGTGAGGAGCTAGTGAGGTGGAGGTGACCATGGTCATTACTCAGATGCCCCAACCCAGCGATGGCCCCTCTAGAAAATATGTACAGGGACCTGAAAGTGTCCAGTGGGGACCTGCTTGAGCCTGAGGGTCCAGGAGGGCAGGGGTGGGAGAGCATCTGGCCAGGGCAATGGGGGTCCCACTGAGGAGGGTGACCCCAACCCAGCAGGGGCAGCTGCAGGTCTGATGGGGCACTCTCCCTGTCCACATGTGTCCCTGGCCCGGCCCAGGCCTGACCCTCTGCCCTTCTCTGGCCCAGGTTCTCCTGCTGGAAGCAGCAGAGCGTCCCTCAAGCCCAGACAATGACCTGCCGGTCCCCCAGAGCACCCCACCGCCCTGGAATGAGGACTTCCTCCCTGACGCTATCCCTCTCGCCCACCCAGGGCCCCGAAGAAGGCCCACAGGCCCAGCCGGTGAGTGCGGCCCACAGGGGAGAGCTGGGGCCAGCTAGAGAGGTCCTGGGCGGGCGTGGCTCCAGGGAGTCCACAAGTAGGTCCCACACTGGCCTTAGGTCAAACATGCCCACACGGCGTTCTAAAAACTTGAGCTGCCATCTAAACACTGAGGGATTTCACATAAAAATGCGGATTTCTGGCTTCTTTTAGAAAAATGGAGACTTTGGCCATTGGAACTGGCAGTCCATCATGGAGACAACTGGCTACCGCTGTCATGCCTGCCCTTCAGATCTTGTCTGAGCTCTGCAGTTGTCCCCACCATTCCTTATTGTATACAGTCCAGCTACTGTCCTCATTAGCTGCCCTGATGCTACCTTAGCATCTTCATTTAGGCCCTCAGCCCAGCCTACTCCTTGGTTGGCCTCTGTCTGCATACCCCCCAGGACGGGGAGCTCACTGCCTCCCACCAGCTTCTGGGGACTCCTCGACAAGCTCTGACTAGCGTTGGAGGGCATCTGCTGCCCTGTTATTTTCTCCCTTCCCTCCACATTTGAAAGTCAGGGATAAAAATTTCTTTCTGTAGCTTCCATCCATTGGTCAGGATTCTGTCCTCTGAGCCTGTGAATAGTAATAATTGAAGTAATAGTCGCCCGAATCATTGAACGCCTGCCTTGTGCCAGGCACTGTGATGGGCCTTGACCTGAGTGGGTGTTCTGCTGACACCTGTCAGTCTGGCTGAGCTCGGGGGTTTAAGGCGGGTGTCCCCTGACTGGTCAGTGTCCATGCTGTGCCAGTTATTAAACATCTGTACGTCACGCTAGGCTGGACAGATGTCCTTTCTGGTCTTTCCGGTAAGCTCATGAAGCTTGGGGGTACAGAGGAAATTGAGGCTCAGAGAAGTGACCTCTGGGGTTACCAGCGACCCAAGGGTTCTGTCTCCATGATTCTTGTCCCCACTGGAGCCCTTTGAAGGTGATGCTCTCCTTCCCTCTCCTCTCTCCCAGTTGAGCCCCCAGCTTCTTAGCACCTCACAGTCTCGGCTCTGAGCCCCTGCCCGAGCCCCTCCCTTGCCTCCTCTGCCCTGCTTCCTGTGGGTGCCCGTCCTGCAGGAGCAGGAGCAGGGAGGGTGACCCTCGGAGCGGGGAGAGTTGGCATCCAGTAGCCAGTCCTGGGGCTGGGGGAGGAGCAGATATTCTGGACTCTTCTGAGGCGCTGAGGCTGTGGGAGGAGGGGTGAGCTCAGGCTGTGGGCGAGGGGAGCCTCTCACTGTGGGTCCCCTGGCCCACTTCTCTGGCCACTGTCCCCAAGGCCTCACCCCAGAGGGCTGCACCACACCCATGTTCTTTAAATCCTTCTTCTGAGACTGAAAAAGGAGCTGCCTTTCCCGGGGAGGACCCAGGCCTTAACCCCCTGGGGGTGGGAGGGGAAGGCTGGGAGCCACTCTGGGTCTTCTGGGCCAGACCTTGCTCCCTCCCAGGGAAAGTGCAGTTCCAAGAAATGGCCACCAGGTGGCGAACAAACCCTACAAATGGTGATGACACCTGGATTCCCAGAGAGCAGGTGGAGTCTCCCCAAAGCAGCAGCCCCTCAAGCTCTTCCTCCTGGACCACAGTCGTGTGGAGTCGGAGACGGAAGGGCCTTAAGATCCAGCGCAGGCCCCTCCATCAGTCCAGCAAGCGTTTCTGAGCGCCCCCTCCAGGCATTCCGGAGGGAGAAGGGGCTGTCCCCAGCCCACACAGTGGTCCTCTTACCTCCATCTCCTCTCACTCACCCGTGGGGCCTGGAGTCCGCGGAGGTGGGCAGGCATGTCCTGTGGTGCTTCCTGGAGTCTCCGAGGAGGCCTTAGGGGAACTCTTTGCCACAAGCCCGTTTCCCAACTCTGAGCAGGGAGGCAGAAGGATGTGGAGAGAGGGAACCGGGCTCATCTACAGCCTGGCTCTGGGAACCTGAGCCAGGGGCCACGCCTTCCGGGCCCTCAGTTCCCCCACCTGTCAGATGGAGACAAAGCAGCTCTTGGGATCATCGAGGTCATTCAGTGCAGAAATGGTGTCAACTGTAATGCCGGACTCCTTGGGGCTGACGGTCCCTTTGCCCATTCGGGGAAGCCTCAGGTGGACAGGCTCCTGGGGGCAGGGCTGTTCCCACAGCACAGGTGGTCGGCCTGGAGCCGCCCGCTCAGCCCAGTGTTCCCAGGCCTCCTCTCATTCTCTCCCCAGGGCCCCCGGGGCAGACAGGACCGCCGGGGCCTGCAGGCCCCCCAGGCTCCAAAGGCGACCGGGGCCAGGCAGGAGAGAAAGGCCCGGCAGGGCCTCCTGGTAAGGACCTGGCTTTGTCATTTGTCTCCTGGGGAACGGGGACTGGGTTTCTCCCCTATCTAAGCAGACGAGTCATCTCGTATGCCCACCAGCACTCTATTGCTGCCCATCCCCGGCGCTTTAGGGCCTGGTCTCACCCTGGGCTGCAGGAAGGAAGAGAGAGGCTCTGGGGGCTGTGGGTGCCAGTGTGGGGGTGGGGCTGCTGGGCTTGTCCTCAGTCATGTAAACTCCTCCTGGGTCCTGCAGGGAGTGACCCCTCTCAGGCTGGTCGCCACCCTGGGTGCTCCTGCCCAGAGCTAGGTCCCAGGAGGAGGCAGAGGGACAGGCCAGAGCCGTCCCTGCCTCCCTCCCCTGCCACCAGCTGCCCCAGGGCTCCCTGTGCAGGGGGCAGGGAAGGGGGGAGCCATTTCACTTACATCCCAAGACAGCCCTCCAGGGAGACTGGTCTAAAGGCCACTGCTGACCCTTGCTGACCCTGTCCCCATTGGGGCCTGTTTCCTGTCAGAAATGCTGGCCGCCAGGCCCAGCCCTCACCTGACTCCTCTTCTCCCCATTACAGGCCTTTTGGGGCCACCAGGGCCCCGTGGGCTACCTGGAGAGATGGGGCGCCCCGGACCCCCTGGCCCCCCCGGCCCAGCAGGCAGCCCGGGGCTCCCTCCAAATGGCCCCCAAGGCGTCCTCTACTCCCTGCAGCCACCTACGGACAAGGACAGTGAGTTCTGGCCTGAGGGGAGGGGGGCCTGGGCACCCCGTCTGCTGAGGGATAGCCCTCCCCAGAGGACCCATGAGGGGCCTATCAGTGAGTGGGGCACTGGCTTGGGAGAGGTGGGGGCCCCGGGAGACCCATACTGACCCCCCAACCTCACGTTGGGCCCAGCATGACCTGTCCCTGCCTTGGTGCTCAGCTGGGGTCCTGACTCGGCAAAGATCACTCTGCTCTTTGGCCTGGCCTCAGTTTCTCTGCCAGGATGGCAGCACCACTGAGGTCATCTGCTGTCCCATCTCCTTGTCCCAAGTCCCCTCACTGCAGGTCATCTGACAAGTGTTGACTGAGCACCTATTGTGTGTCGTCACTGGGATACAGCAGAGAGAAAAACACTCCTCCCTCAGGGGCCACGGGCTAGTGCAAGGGGCACCCCTGAGCCCCCGGAAGCACTGCCTGCGTGGGGAAGCCAGCGCTGCAGCGCCGGCCTGGCTGTGGAGCTGAGGCCCGTGGGGAGCCGGGATGGGTTCTATAAGAAGCAAAGTGACAGGACTGACTTAACATGTTGCGGAGAGGGGATGGGTGGGTACATCCAGGGCACCGTGGTGGAGGGGGACCTTTGTCAGCCGCTAGGGAAACCCCACCTCCTGTCCTGCTGGTGCTTCTGTCCCCTCAGGCAGCACAGCCCTCACCTGAGTGTTAACACCTGGTCCCTCTCTGAGCCTCAGTTTTTCCATCTGTAAAGTGGGGGTGATAATATTTCTTGATGGAATTGCTCTGGGCTTGTAAAACAGAGCCCCCAGCCTTAGCCTGAACCAAGTGAATTGGGGTCCTGGGCTGTGTCCTCAGTGAGTGAGGGGCCTGGCCAGCAGGGCAGGGCCTGGGGAGGGGCCGGCTCTCTCATGGGGCGTCTGGAGCGAATGTTAACTCACTGAACACTCGGCTTTCTCACCCGCATGTGGCTCAGAGATGCCCCTGGGCAGGGAGAGAATAGGTAGTGTTTGTGATGCACTTGGGGGTCTCAGGGCTCAGCAGCCCTATACCCCTGGGCCATGAGGAGCCATCTGAGTGCTGCAGGCTGCCCTGGCCTGGGCATGATGCCCTGTATCAGACCGACGCTGCCCACCTACCACCTCCAGTGCCCAGAGCCCTCCTTAGACAGGACCCTCCTTCCCCAGCCCTGGGGTCCCTGAGGGAGGGCAGCCTTTGGGGTGTGAGCACTGGGAAAGGTGGGGATGCTCCAGTGGGGACAGCTGGTGGGTCTGAGCACCCACAGGTGTCCACTTGCTGTGAGGCCTATGGAAGGACCGTCCAGGCTCCCATCTATGGAGGGAGGGGCAGAGGTAGCCCAGACAGTTCCTGGGCCTGGCTGCTCTGTCCTTGCTCTGGGGATGCGCAGGGTGAAGTCGCATGGGGCTCACCCTAGAGGAGCCCAGGCCTTGGGAGACAGGCCATTAGACAGGCCCCACCTTGCCCCAGAGCCCTGATGGAGGCAGCTCAGAGGGGTGAGCAGGGAGGGCTTCTTAGAGGAGCCCTGAGTGAGTGAGCCAGCTGGGCGCATCAGGGCAGGCATGTGGATGGAACCTGGAAGACAGTGCCAGCCTGGGCATTGGGGAGGTGAGTGGGACTGGCCAGAGTTGAAGGGTCTGGATGGTTCAGGAAAGAGTTTGTCTTTATAAGAAGCTCACCGGGCTTTCGCCGCCCTTTGACCTGGCCGCCGTGTGCTCTTCTGAGCAGTGGGAGCAATTGCATCTGTTTGCCAGGGCTGCTTTGAGGCCCCAGTGGGGTCCGGAGTATCCATCCCAGCTCTGGGGGACCTCAGGTCCAGCCTCCCAGCTCTGCCAACTCCACCCTGCCAGGTCACAGGCCGTCTGCTCTTCCCGCAGATGGAGACTCACAGCTGGCTTCTGCCGCCGTGGACACGGTGCTGGCCGGTGTCCCAGGACCCCGGGGTCCCCCCGGCCCTCCAGGTAAGTAAAGGCAGCAGCACCGATGGCCTGGATTGGATGCCCCATCCTGGGCTTGGCCTGGGCCAAGGGGGCTTGAAGGAGCCATTAGGGGGCCCGTGGCCTTGGCAGGGTGCTGGAGACTGGGTCTGCCCCAACCTACTGTTCGGCAGCTCACTTGTGGGACTGGACAAAGGAACCCCAAGTTCCTGATGCCCACGTAAAGCAGTTCAGAGCTGCCCTCATGTGGATCTGGGTGGTGGATGCACTGGATACATGGAGGCCCAGGCCCAGGGGGAGCATGGGGTTAGCAGAGGGCAGCTCAGGTGGGACCGGTACTATGAGAGGCACAAGGTCCCGGGCCTTTAGGCAAAAACCAGTGGCCCTGCGGGAGGAGATGGCCCTGGGCTCAATGCGCTGAGCCTGGATCTGGCTTGACCCCCACCCTCCATGGACCCTCACTGGGCAGGGGCGTTTGGGGCCAGGGCCACCGAAGCCCGGCCCGCCCAGCTGTGTGGATGTCCCCAGGCCCAGAACACTCACTCCCTGTCATTCATTTACTCTCTTACCCATTGAACAAATATTCACTGAGCAAATCCTACCTGCTGGGCAGTGTTCTAGGTCCCTCCTGTCATAAAACAAAGGTTCATAAAACAAAGGCCTGGTGGTATTTACACTCTCGTGGAGGAAGCAAACCTTGCTCATAAGTAAGTGAGTCCACAGATCTGAGAGTGACCAATGGAAAGCAGGGCCGGGGGAGGGCCCGGCCAGGGCAGGCGTTGTTTCGAAGGCGGCATTTGATAAACGCTCAGACCAGGTGAGGGAATGAGCTTGAGAGCACCGGGGGCCGCAGGTGAAGTGCTCTGACTGCAGATGTGTGCCCGCCCCACCTGGGTGCACTGTCCCACCAGCCTCCTCAAGCCGGGGGGCACATTGGAACAGCCCATGGGGCTCCCTGCAGCCCGGGAGGCACAGGCCTGTGCGGGGAGGGACAGAGGCCTCCTGGTCCAAGGGTGCTGGAAGTTCATCATGAACCGCTTCCTGTGCTGGGCCCATGTGGCACAGTCTGACCCTCTGGACTCTCTCTGCCCCAGAGGCAGTCAGACATGGGGACTGACAGCAGGCAGGGTGGTGGCTGGTGCATGCCAGAAGTTCTGGAAGAGAGGTGGGGGGGGGGGGGCGGTTGCTAGGGAGGCTTCCTGGGGGGAGGAGATGCTGAGCCTGAGAGTTGTAGGGAAGACCAGTAGGAAAGAACTTGCAGGGATGTGGAGGGAATGGAGGAGCTCCGGGGGAAGGAGCGGATTGGCACAGGCACGGGAGCCAAGGACCTTTCCGGGAGGGTATCTGGGGAGGGTGGAGGGGCGGGCCTGAGAGGGACCTCACCGAACAGTTGCTTTCTGGGTGTCCCCATGGAGGGTGGATGATCAAGAAGCAGTTGTAGTCACCCAGGCAAGAAGGGATGGCCTTGGGGGGTCTGGTCCCAAGTCCCAAGGAGGGGCTGATGTGGGAGAGATTTGCCAGGGGCTGGTTGCAGAGTGGCCCCATGGATGAGGCCCTGGGAGGAGAAGAAGTTCGGGGTGTAGGCTGCATGGAGAGAGCGGGTGGAGGTGGGCTCTCTGCTCTGAGTATGGGCAGGAGAGGCCAGGGGAGTGGGTGTTCCCTGTTCCCCCGCCATTCAGCCACCAAATCTTTGTTTGCTGCCCATGAGACAGGCCAGGGGAGGGGCTGGGGCGGGGGTGGAAATGTCCCTCTCTAGAGCTGATGGGGGCAAAAGGCTTCTCGGGCCCCAGGTAACTTGTCTATAACTCGGCCAACAGGTCCCCCAGGACCACATGGTCCCCCAGGACCCCCAGGTGCACCTGGATCCCAGGTAAGGCCTCTCCCATTTCTGGCATGTGAGGGGTCAGTGGCTTCCTAGGAAGGGAGGAGCCAGGCTTTTTGCTGCAGGAGTTGCTCTGGAAGGAACCAGTCCACCTGGCCAGTCCCCACCTGGGCCCAGGTGGGCCCCGGGGGCACGTAGGCACGAGATTCTGGTTTTAGCAGCAGCAGTGGTCTTCGCTGCTCATTTCTTCTCTGCCAGAGAGGTATTAGCGTCATTCCCATTTTATTGATGAGCTGACTGAGGTCCAGGGAGGCCAGCATCACAGAATGTCCACCCCAGCCTGTCATCCTGTTCCCAAGACTCACCTGTGTGGGAGGGGTACCCCAAAGGCTGACTGGGTGCTCCACCCCAACTTATTCTGCCTTTCAGATGTGACCTCGGGCTAAAAGGCAGCCTCCCTGGGCTCTGGCTTCCTCGGCTGCTGAGCCAGGGAGGGGCTGTCACAGGGAGCAAAGAGAGCTGAAGTGCCAGGTGGAAGCACCTTGTAGTACAGGAGCCCAAGGGTCTGGGAGGAAATCACTCGGAGGAGGAGGAAGGACCCGGGATGCCTGCTGGGTGTTGGATGTCCTACTGTGCAGGGCTTTGTGCAGCCCCCATCCTGGGCCGAGCTCTGCTGGGGGGCAGGGGGCGGGGGGTAGTACTGAGAGGAGGTGCTGAGAGGTGGCTCCCACACTGCGAGGATGTGGATCCTGGCCTTGGCCCTGTGGACACTGGGTCCTGAGGAGTCCCATGTGTTCATTCATCCCTTCAGTTAAATGACAAATATTCCCCCATCTGATGACACAGCCAGGACCGGGGGCCACAGTCCAGGCCCCTAAAGCTTACGTCCTGGACGTCAAAGAACCAGTGTGCCCGACTCGGATCTGCTCCCTGTTGTCCCCACAGTGTGTTTTCCACCAGGAGGACTCAGCGTGGAGGAGAAGGGCTGGCTGGTGCACAGACCCTGACACATGCCATGTAGAGCCTAGGGCAGTGGTCGGCAAACTCATTAGTCAACAGAGCCAAATATCAACAGTACAACGATTAAAATTTCTTTTGAGAGCCAAATTTTTTAAACGTAAACTATTTAGGTAGGTACATTGTTATTAATTTAATTAGGGTACTCCTAAGCTGGCCTTTGCTAAAAACATCCTTCTCTCTCTCTCTCTCTCTCTCTCTCTCTCTCTCTCTCTCTCTCTCTCTCTCTCTCTCTCTCTCCTGGAACCAAACCAGGGACCCTTCAGTCCACAGGCCAACGCTCTATCCACTGAGCCAAACCAATCTATGCTCTTCGCCTCTTTTTTTTTGTTTAGGGCATAAGGCAGAGGGTTTTGAATCCGTACCAAAAGGAGGGATAAAGAACTCTACTTGGACACAGAGCAGTCCAAGTAAGACCCCAGAGGCTTGAAATAGTGTACAAGTTGGGGAATTGTGATGTGTTCCAACCATAAAGTGAAAGAAAGGATGGAAGGAGATGAGGTTGGAGAAAGGGGTCCCAGGCTGTCCTCACCTGGAAGTCATTACAAAGCCTCTCTTTCCCACACTCCCTCCTCACTCTCTTTCTCCCTTTCACCAGGTTCACCTATTTGCTTTAAAATAACCCCTCAATTGAAAATTGAAAACAATTCAGGCCTTACTCAGGATTTTCACCTTTATCCTGAGAACAATAGGAAACCATTTGGCAGATTTAATTAAATGAGTGGTCAGAGCAGGTTTTCTTTTTAAGTTCATTCTCGTTGCTGCATTGAGAATGGTCTGAGAAGGAATGGACAAGAAAGATTTGGACAGAGCAGTCAGGTGGTGATAGGTAAGAGAGATCATGGTGAACTGAAGCAGTGGTAGCAATAAGATAGAAGGAGTATGGGACAGGAGTGGAAAGTATTTCTAAGGTAGAATTGATAGGTCTTGCTGATGGGTTGAATGATCTTTTACCCTCTCTGCACCCACCCCCTTGGGCATTTAACTTTGAAGTGTCCTCTGCCTCTGTCTCTGGACTTGACCATGTGCCTGGCTTTGGGTAATAGAATGAAGCAGAAGTGCAAGTATGGTGCGTCTAAGTCTACAACTCGAGAGGCATTGCTCTTTCTTGTGTTTCTGTCATCTCCATGAGGACATTCCTGAGGCAGCCTACTGGCATGGAACAGATACGTGGCAGAGACTTGAAGTGCCCAGTCAGTCCAGTTGAGACTCATCTAGATCAGTGGTCGGCAAACTCATTCGTCAACAGAGTCAAATATCAACAGTTCAACGATTGAAATTTCTTTTGAGAGCCACATTTTTTAAACTTAAATCTATATAGGTAGGTACATTGTTATTAACTTAATTAGGGTACTCCTAAGGCTTAGGAAGAGGCCACACTCAAGGGGCCAAAGAGCCGCATGTGGCCCGCGAGCCGCAGTTTGCCGACCACAGGCCTAGGGCAGAGCAAGAGTGGATGTGGGACAGACCAGGCTGGCCAGCAGGACCTGGGGTGGGATGAGGGCTGCAGAGGGGCTGGGAGGCCCCCAGGCCTGATCTATTGCGCTGCATCAGGAGGGGTGGCCCAGGTAAGCCGAGAGT